GTTTCCAAATAGTTGTGTATAAAGCAAGTACTTGCATGTGAAATCTTTCTTTTCTTTAGTGTCATAGGTTTCACCAAAATATCAAGCCCTAACATAAAATAAAAATTGCTGTTAAGATTTATAATACCCACCTTCAAGAATTTTTCAAACATCTATTCATTTACCAACTACTTGTGTTCATTTTTCCCAGATTGTTATCCAAATGGTTAACTAGTTCATAGAACTGCTAAAACTAAATTATTAAAAGAATTCCTATCTATATTCTTGGAAACTTGACGCTTTTCAGTGTTTAAAACTGCCATCCTCATTACATTAAGGCTCTATGAACTTATCAGACACACTGAGATAGTCCATAATACAGCTGTACCTGAATAAAAGATTCAAGATTTGCTACTGTCCTAATTGAAACACCCTGCTTGTAGTAAACATTTGTTGAACTAATCACCTGAATGATAACAAAGAAACGTGAAATCCCAAAAGGGTCCATTACTACTTGTTGAAAGACTGTCCACAAGCAAATTTCTAAAGACTCTCTGAATGGCAGTGAATGATCGCTAAATAGCAGGAAAAGGGTGTTATTCTATAAGCTGATAGATATTGCCAATATTCTTTGGAACTGCTCAACCACAGAGCAAGAAAAAGGCAGATAAAGTCAGGCTAATATTATTAGAAAGGAGAGATGTGAAGGAAGTAGCAACTATCAAACTCCAATTCTTCTGGAGACTTCTTAAGTTTCTGAAATATTGGAATTTGTATATTTATTCAGTGGTTCTTAAATAGGAATGCATCAGAATCTCGAGAAAAGTATTTCTAGTGGTTAGAGAGAGAGTCTCACTATGTTGCACAGGTGGACACAAACTCCTGGGCTCAAGTGATCCCCCTGCCTCAACCCTCCAGAGTAGCTGGGACAGCAGGCAGACACTTCTGCACCCAGCTTTGAGGGAATCTGTTTAAATATATATACCCATGCCTTCTTAGATTTACTAAATCAAAATCTCCAAGGCTAAGCCTAGATTTCTAGGTTGTTAAAAAAATTTTCCCAGGTCACCGTGATACACAGCTCTAGCTGAGAACTAGTGGAGCAGACAATCACTTCAGTGTCATGTCTCTCTCACATAGCCAAGTCCCTTTATCATTTGGAGATCTGGACAAAAACAGGAAATAGTAAGACATGGAGTCATTTACTGAAAACTCCATTTAATTTTGCTGCATAGGGTTAGAACAGGGACTAAGAAACTCAAAACACAATTTGATTTTGTTATTTATAAGTTCCATATCTCCCACCTTCCCAACAAGAAATTCTAGTAGAGTCTTGTCTAAGTGGCTGTTTCTGCAAGAGTAGGATAAGAAGTCAGTTAAGTACTTATTCTTCCCTCTCCTGAAGTCTTCCCATATCATCACCACCTATTCACTGCCAATCTGCTTTCCTCAGAGTCCCCCTAAAATTGATTTCTGGGCAAGTTTACAATTCGCTAACACTCTTTCCCAAACTAGGAATTATTTTCCACAAAACTGAAGAGTACTTTTTCTAAACATATAAACTGGGAACAAATAAGTAAACACACGAATACCTCTTCATTGTATTTTCCACAAATTACCTAATTTCCAAACTGGCCTGCATATTTCTGATTGTTCTCTTTTTCCCTTTCCATTTCTCTCTCTTAAGACTTGCCAGTTAGAGATAAGTCACTTTGATAGAAATTACATTGTTAAGGAACTTATCAAGAGCAGCAAGAATTCCATTTACTGTATAATGCTTTAGTTATGAATTTTAAGATAAAGCTTATTTCCAGGGCAAATTTGCCTTCCCTAGGTTGTTTTATACTAATTAGGAAAAAAGAAAAAAACACTTGTTTGAAAAAAACTTAACAAGCTTTCCTTTAACAAACGCAGGGTTTTCACAAATATTAACCATGAATGTATAAAAGAAAACTGCATCCTCTAATGCTTCTTTAAATGTATAAACATTTTAAGTAAAATCTTAAGACAATTAAGGCATTTCAAAATATTTTCATTCAGGGAATATTTGAGCTTCCAAATATGGAAAATTGATAGTTACATATGTCAATGTTCAATATTTTTCAAATAAAGTTCATTGATCTATACCTTGTTTACGGCTTCTATATTTGCGCCATGTGAAAGGAGTTTTTCTGTGATTGATGTGTCCTCGTGATAGACAGCATAGTGAAGAGCTGTGTTGCCATAGATGTCACTGTGATTTGGATTGGCACCATGTTCTAACAGGATGGTGGCACACTCCTCTTCCTGGCATTGTACCGCCTATCAGTATCGGATCAAGAAATAGACCACAAATTCCAAGAGTTCAAAAGAAACATTACAAAGATTCCACCAACTAGTTACCTTTAAACGAAATAAATTTGTTTTTATTATGTGTATTGAAATGAAATCCATCTCATGCTGCACTAGATGGCTGCTATATACCTTTATCAGAGCTGTTCTTTTTTCACTGTCGGGGACATTGAGCTTGCATTTTCTGTCCACCAAGATAGTAACTACTTCTGGATGGCCATTGGCACAGGCCAAATGGAGAGCAGTCCTATGAAAGTGAGAGAGAATTTTAGGAAATTGTAGTGCACTATCTTAAAATATACAATGATTCATGTAATTATAATTATTAAACAGCATGTATTCTTCCACCTTCAAAACAAATACTTAATTTTCTTGTGAAGAAAATACAATATTTATTAGCTGCTATTCCTCACTAGATTAATAAAAGAGCAGCCTATTTCAGTAGAAAGAGCTTGGTTTTTAGAGTCAGTTCATCTTGGGTTAGCATCCTACTTTAAGCTCTATCAATTATTAGCTATCATTTAGCCCTTCTGTACCTCAATTTCCTCTTAAATAGGCAAAAAAAAAGTAGTAGCAATCTCATAGGACATCACTGTGATGCTTAAATGAGACTCTGTACAAAGTATATGGAACAGTTCCTAATGCAAATAATAGCTCAATGATTGTTACATAATGTAATTATTACTATTGATTAACAAAGACATTTTAATTAAGCAACATAATACAATTATATCTACTTTGAGGTTTATTTTAAAGACTAGAGATAACATTGTATTTCAATGATGCTAGGGTGCTCATTTTCCCACATTTTAACATCACTAACACTGGAATGGCACCTTTTATTCATGATTTCTTTCAACTATAATGGGCAGCACTGAAAAATTATGTCATTGATAAGCAAAATAATGGGACATCACAAAATTAATGCTGCCTTACATTAAGAGAAATAGGGCATATACAATAGGTCCATGGAAGTTCTAGTCATATCATTGGCATTTATATAAGTTTCAGTTCTTAAAAGTACTATAGAAAAAGAAGGTTGAAATGAAAAAATTTTTAAAACCAAATAATTCTTACTTTGATTTTCACATAACTTCAAAGCAAGGGAAACTCAGGACTCGAATGAATAGGTATGCCTCATTTGTTCAATATTCAGATTTATACACTGTGTGAGAATCAGGTATTTTCAATGTTTAATATTAATAATTAATACTGTTACAAATTTTAAAAGGGCAGTTAAAGTCATCTTTTATAATTTTCTACCTTCAGAAATGCTTTTGTTTGAAAGGAGTGAGCAATGACTTTAACTGAAATTAAGTCCTAATACTTCAATTTTAAATTTCTCAAATTGCTCAGGCTGGTCAGGTAAATAGTTTTAAGGATGGATTGTCCTGAAAGATAGTAGAATATGTCTGCTACATACTAGGCATTCACATTACGTTTGATGAATAAATGCATTGAAAAAAACAGCGTACAAGAGTTAAATACTTTGAAAGAAAACTCCTATAAATTAAAGTAATACCTTTGTAATAGTAACATTTATATTTCCTATTTTTCATTTTCATAATGATACAACTAAATTATAATAATTACTCTAAAATTTTTGCATATAAGTAATAAATTATATAACAAAACAGATGCACATTAAAAAACTGTGTATGTAATAAAATCTTCAAGCACAAATGAAAAGATTCCCTTTACTTCTGAAGGGATAAAAGTTGGCAGAATACTCCAATCCACAAAATAATTTTAAAATAAACTCATAGAAATTAAGAAATTATTTCTGTCTGTGCAAGATGTTCTTCCCAGGGATCATATCATTAACAATAAATTTTTGCTAGAACTTTTAAATCATACATGCTAATTGCCTAGAAATAACAGATTTTATCACATTTTGTACATATTTTAAGACCACAGTGTGTTTGTATGTATAATCAAAATGATTTTTATTCTTACGTGATATACCTAAATACCCTTCACATGTCAGCACACATATGTATCTATGCCACCTGCTATGGTCACATATTATTCCATCTATGGACACAATCAAACTGATTTATAAAATCCCTCATATGCATTCCTTTTAGTACCTTATTATTTTAAGCGCTGAGAAAAACAAATTATATGATCTCTATTTCTTGAGAATATTTTAGTACAGTGGAACTGATGGGCAAAGGGCATATACAATTTTGAAATGTGTAGTCACAGGCAACTGTAACCTTAGTCAGTAGGGAGCGCGTCAGTCTCATTTGTGTGTAGTTACCACCAAGTTGTCTATTTCAAAAGAAATCAGCAACGTAAACTGTAAGCACCAGTATAAGTATTTTCAGTGTTTAATATTAGTATTTAATATCTTCATTCTTACAAACTCTGTGGATAGATTAACAGTATCTCATTCCTCTTTTAACTTAAAATCTTTCTCTTAGCAGGGGCACTTAATATTTTTTGCTATGTGCGTAGGTCACTTGTAGATCGGCAAGAAAAGTACTTTGCCCAATTTTAAA